GTATTACAATTCTTTATTCTTTAAAAAAAAAGTATATGTATATATATAATATACGAGTATAGACAATTATTTATTCTTTGGGAAAACAGTATATATATATATATTATAGTTAATTATTAATATTAATATTTAAGAGAAACCTAATGTATTCCTTACGTAGTTGTAGATCTATGCCAATAATGCATATCAATTATATGCAGGTGATTATATTTAAATAATTTTGAATTAGTTCGTTATTGAAACCTTTAAACAAATGGCGTAAATAAATAAATTTATTATTGAAAAAAGGCAAGATAACTACAACATCATTGATAAATAGATAGTACCGAACAATAATTAAATAAACAAATAATTTTATAAGTCTTGGTGTAACAATTAAATGAAAGTTTAATGGGAAAACAATCAACGATTATAAAAGAGATACAATAATTTTTTCCTCATCAAAAAAAAAATTTTTTCATTTTTTTTTTTTTTATAAGAAATTTACGAAATTTACGAAATTATTTGACGCTAAAAAACAAAACCAATAATAAAAAAGAAATGATGAATTCTACAAGAAATATTGTCATGTTATTCGTTCTATCATTATTACTACTATCTACTATACACGCATTACCTTTTCCACTAGGCGACGAGTCTTTTGATGAAGATTATTATAATAATTCTCGTTAGCTTTAGTCTGGTTATTAAAGTCAAGCAAGGCAAACAAATGGGAAGACGAAGAATATGAAGAGATAAAATTAATCATGACTAATCTTGGAAAATTAAATAATAATATAATTACTAATTAAAAAAATCAGAGTTAAATAAATTCATAAAATTTGTTTTTTGTAAATAATATTAATATAAATAATATAACTTGTAAAGTTGTTCCTTTTTAAGGTTAAGTTTTTTTTCTGTAAATTTATTCCTGTGATAGTTAACTATTTCTTGTGTAAGTTTTTACTCTTAATGAATAATAATAAATAAATTGCTCATTTATAATTTTTGATTTATGTGTGGGATCTTTTTATAATCAAAAGCATGTATAGGACTTTGATCTAATGATTCAAATTTACTGTGTGTAACAAAAAAAAAAAGGAAATCTTTATTATTGGTTTCTCAATAATGGTTGAATGAAAATAGATAAAAATTATCAAACTTATTTTTAATTGCTTTTAACTTAAAAGCCGATTTGGTTTTTTAGACCCTTTTTTCAAACCTTATGTCTTATTGTGTCTCAATGTTAAACACGAGTATTTTTAATGTGTAAACTGGTCAGTGGAATGATAATTAACCCTAAAACCAATGTGTTTTTGCTAGTATAAAGTATTCATAACGTTATGATCACACCGTACTGAATTTCGGGGATCAAACAAAATCAGCAAGTTAATTTAATTTTATTCCATTTAAAAATTCAATTATTAAAAATCAACAAAATCATTTCTCACTAATTTGCCAAATTTCATTTCAATTCTTTGGAGTTTTTTAGCATTCATTACTCTATGTCTTGCTTAACAAATCACCAAAAAATTTGATGTTACAATATATGAACATTGTTGAATAATCATCATCACATGACTAAATAGCACATATTGATTGAAGTCTTTGTGAATAAATTTTGAGCTTAAAATAATTGACTTTCAAACAGCATCCCAATCTTTGTAATAAGTTCAGGAATGATCTCTATATAGAATGTAATGGCAAAAAAAGAACAAAAAACACTTTCTAAATTGCACCAAAAAATTTCCGGTTTTTTTTTGTTACACACGTAAACATCCTTCGATATTAAGGCCGTCCAAATTTAATTATCCTTTTTTTTTGAAAATTAAGAGGGAGGGGGGAGGGGAGAAATTTAAACAAACAAAATAAGGTAAACACCAATGAAAAGGCCTTCAATCACTAGAGTTATCGGCAAAGAAAAATATTTTTCCAAAAATGTTTTGTGTTTTATGAAAAAGTTTAGGAATACTTTGTTACACAGTTAAATCACGTGCATTATAATTAAATTTTGAAAATCTGGGAGGGGAAATTTAAACAAATAATTAATTAAAGTTAAAATCTAATGATATTAATATCAAATTCTGATTGGCTAATTTGAATTTCACAAATGCAAATTGCAAAATTTCTTTTCCACAAAGGTTTGCTGAAGAGAGTGTAACTGTGAATTCCTAAATATTTATATAATAATAAGGACCGAAATTATATACTTTAAATAAATAAGTTTTTCAGTTCGTTTTTGAAAAATTATTATTATAAATATAACTATTACTATATTTGGTACAAATATTTATAATATTTAAAATATTTTCGTCAAATTACTAAATTTATTTGCAAAAAAAAATCCAGATCTGCATATACAGATCCGGTTTAAAATTTTTGAACCGGAAAAGAAATCCAATTACAAATTGTAATTGAAAACAATACAACAATATATCTCCATCTAATCTACATATACTACTTGTTCTATACACCTATTCTTTGTGGAAGTTACATCAAATTTTCTTTTATTTTAAACAAAAACGTGCGATTTTCCTGTAATTTTACTTGGTATTTTGTGAAATATAATTAATTAACATCATAATTTATTTTTAAATAAGGTTAACATGAAAAAATATAAAGTTCATTCTATTCTTCCGTCCCTATATGTGCCTTTTTTCATTATAAAGTGTGTTTACTAAGATATTTGTTATAGAGAGAAAAATTAATTATAAAAAAATGAATAGGGACGAAAGGAAGTTCATTATAGATATTTAACTCCGTCAGGATCAACAGGAATGGGCCAGTTGTTTTTTATTTTGGTGGATTTCCTGTTAAGGGATTTAATGGCTATTTATCAATGAAAGGTAGAAAAAGTCGCCCTTGCATTTAAGCTTATATAATTAATATATAATAATAATGTTACAGTCAAACCTCGTTATAACAGATTTTGTTATATCGAACAAAATCTTATATTAAATAAAAAATTTCGTTACAACGAATTTGTATAATAACAATAAACTCGTTATTCCGTATAACGAACATTTATTTGAAAAATTTTATATTAATATACACTCCCCTTAATAACCGGAAATGTCACGCCTTATGCAGTTCAATATTTTATTAATCAAACTGGGACTGGTGCATTAAGTTTAAAAGTTAATTTGCATATAAACTTAAAGTCTCGTTGAGTTTGCATTATTAATGAATTTAGTATTAGGATGAAAATTTTAAATTAGACAAAAAATTCCGTGATTTTTATGAAAACTTTGAGCTTAGTAAAAACCTTCACGTCATTAAGTAAATCCACTTAAAATATCTTAAGAAAATTTGATCAAGTATAGACAACAAAAACTTAAAGCCTTAAAATTTGCATTTTGTCAACTTTATTGTTTTATATCATAGAATTATGGGGTGGTCGGATACTTTTTTAAACCCTTTTCATGAACTAATTTATGCCAACACCATATTGTGGATTATGTAATCTGTTACTTTGAGCACATTTTATTAATGAAATAATATACATTACAATGAAGAAATTTGACCTTTATTACATGTAAAGATTCCAATTGAAAATTTGCTTTTTTGGACTATTTGCTAAATGTTTCCATTAACATCATACCGAACCTTTCGAAGCTTTTGTAATTTAGAGATTTTGATATCAAGTACAAGTCTACTTAGTAAAGTAAAAACGGTTTTATTTAAGAAAACGTTACTTTTTTAGTAAGGACTCCTTTCATTTTATGTTATACAATTTGGGTGGTCGGATACTTATTAATAATTAGTTAAAATTTATTTATAATTAATTATAACCAATTATAAATTGTAAAGACTTTGTCTGATTGGCCATCATAATAATCAGGTTTATGGTCGAATTGGATTGAAAAAGCATATGTTTTTCTTCCATTTTAAATTAGCAGGTACTAAATCCTGTAAACCTTAACGTTGTAACTGCTGCAAATGCTACAAGTTTGCAACTTCTGCAATTATTGGCAATCTCTGCAAGGTCAACTGCTATTATATATATAAAATAACTTTTTTTACGGGAAAATAAACTTTACCGTATGGATTAGATTTTTATAGTCGTGTGACATGTCATAGAGAGTGAACTATGTATGTATATGAGTGTCCATATGAAATAAACATGATGGATGATCAATAAAGCAACAATTAATGTTATGAAAACCGTTGAAACACGATTATAATCACAATTAGTAATTTCGTTTCAACGGATTTTAAATGAAATTTTCTTATATGTCTAGCCATTCCGTTGAAACAAGGATTATACTGTATTAATAAAAAATTTGTCGAGATGGGATTGGTATAAGGAATTTTATATGCATGTATCCATAGATTCATCGAATTCCGATATATTAAATATATACAGTCCACACTGTCTATAACGGATTATTGGGACCAGGAAATTTGTCCGTTATAGATACTACATTAAGTCATGCGGAATAAAAAAATTTTTATTATTACATAAAAAATATTATTCAATATTAATTAATTAAAAAACAGTAATATAGATTGTTTTGTTGAATTGAATTAATTCTATTTTTTAATTTTCTTTTTGACATTTTTTAACTGTTTCAATTCCTCATTTGTAAATTTCTTAAACTGTTGTTCAAACAAACAAGTTTACTTTTTCAATAGCCAATAAAACATCTTGACTTGAAATAGGAGATGTCTCTTCGATGTCTTCTTCATCCTGATTTTCTTCATTAAATCTTCATTAAAATTCTACATGGAAATTATTTCTTCTTCATTCAGTAAATCATCATCAACAACATTTTTTTCCATTTCATCAATACTTTGGGTTCATTACATCATACCTTATGTCATTTATTTCAATAATTGTTTTAATTTTTTTTTTTTTGATTTTTATAAACAATATTTTTTATTTTTTTATTTTGCGATTACGGGTAATAGTAATTTTTTATTATAATTTGGATTTGGAGAGATCTGCATTTTATTTCAGATCATGTGAATCCGTTATACTGTATTAACCTATAAACTCTAATCAACTTTCATGAACATTGTTAGAAGTTTATCTCTTCGAGTACCAATGCCGTTATTTCGTATATCGAGAATACAGATGAATCAGACGACGATGATGAATTAGACACAGTGATAATTTCACCAAGAAATCTGTCACATTGAAGAAAGGGAAGAATTGAAAAAAAGTTGTCCATTGAAATGACGTTTAGGCAAACGTAAAACAAATAGTGGTAGCTACCTCCATGATGCAGTTTTATTAATTAATAGTTAAACCCTGGGTAGTACGGGTATAAGTTCAATTTTACGAAGTAAAATTGAGCTTAAACTTGTATTATCCCAGTGGTTTAACTGATTAATCCCCCACAATTTATGTCATTTTTACGTGTAACTTTTTCCACTATCAAGAAGATTTGTTGGGTGGTTAATAACAAATTAATTTATTCTTTTCTAAAATTTGTATATTTCATCTTGCTTTGCGGAATATTACACTGCTCCACCATTATCATTAATATTACTAAAAAACTATTACACATTCTAATAACAATGGTAATTTTAATATTTATGATTCAAAATCAATAAATGTTACAAGCGAAACCCATCCAGTTACTACTGAAACAGATAATACATGTGACTTGATGAGTAATGATCAAGATGCAATTTCCAGTGATACTAGTGTTGATGATTCTAGTATTTCTAGTGATGCTTTTGATTCAAATAAAAGTATTGATTCACGTCATGCATTCAATGATATTTCCGATATTACATTACCATTTAAAAGATCACAATTATAATGAAATTAAAGGACACAAATTTAAATTTATTAAATGTCATAATATTACTATTAATATTCACTATTACTATTAAATACTCATTACTTCAAACAATTGTATTTTAATATTTGTTTGTATTACTATAATGTTTTGCATTTTATAAATAAAAAAATAGTCTATCATAAAATTCAATTGAGCTTGAATTTTTCTAGTGGGTATAAGCACAAACTGAAAAATGGTATAAATGAGGTTACACGGGGGATAATGAATGTTAACCACACGGAAATTCAGGTAGCTTTTGGGAAAGTTGTTGGAAACAGGGTTGGCAAATGTGCGTCTATTGGTAGTCCATTGGGTCCATTAGTGTAACATTTGGTATTTTATTAATGGCAATGGACCAGTCCAAATCCACCCGTTCTCAATGACCAGTCAATTTGCCAACCCTGGTTGGAAATGTTTATTATCATGATGATGTAAATATGAAGGGAGATCGTAAAAAGATCCTTAAAGGTAAGGTGAAACGAAATTTGATTCTATCATTGTGAAAATCACTAACAATAACATTTACTGACAGCTATGCAACTGGCTCTCTTCGGTATTCGGAAGTTGTTTCCAGAAAATGATCCCAATCTAGAAAAATTAGAAACATATGGAATTCTTGTTTACAGTGAGTAATATGATTTATTAACTATTATGTTTGTAGTGGCTTGCTAATTTTATACATTTATTTATATAGAGAGAGATGTTTTCTTTATGCTATGCATTGGGTTGGTGGAGTTTATCTTGTTGACCAGTTTGATGGGTTTGTGGTTCCTAATACACCTATACAATCAAAGAATTTGTCCCATATTATACGAAGAATGATTATATTTAAGGTAACAAATATTATTAATGTTGTTGTTAATTGCTGTCATAGTATTTCTTATGATAATTTGTAACTGACACACTCTTTACTTATATATTTGGCCAGATCCGTGTTGTAAATCTACAACAGCACATAGAGTCTTCATTGAAATTAAAAAAATTTTTTAAACGTGGTGGCACTCAGCATGCAGATGATTGTATTGTTGATACATCTCCACAGAAAAAAAAATCGAGTTTCTTCGATAGATATAATGTCTCAAGAGTGATGTTAAGTGAATTGTTGATTCATACTTTAAAAAAAATGGAATAAGTCGCATCCTGTTGTGATTTTTCAATAAAAAATTTTTTTAGTAGCTAATCCGAGGACAATCTTTACATATAACAAGATTAAAATTTCTGAGTATATGTATTAATTAATTAATTCACATAATTTTTTTCAATTTGTAATCATTATCGAGAGAACCGACTTATCGAGACCGTCTTACAGATAGCACGTGACATAAAAATTTTATTATTACAAATAATAAGATAAAATATATAAAATATGAAAAAAAATTATTTTTTACTAAATAAATAAATTATAAATAGTTTTTTAAAACAATAATTATTTATATTAATCTTTTATTAGAATTTCAGAAGTTTGGAAAATCAACCAGCATATTTCCGAACACAATAAAAATATATAAATGTATTTTTCACAATACAAACAAGAATATTCTTTCTAAATTATCAGGCAATAAATTATACAATCAAGATATATATATAGCCTGATGATACAAAAATGAAATAATAAAGTATCGCGACAAGATTTTCTAAATCATCAGATATTAACGTATGATATAAAATTCTAAAAAAAAAAAAAAATCATACGTTACTAAAAGTAGTAATGATGATCTTTTATTTAATGGAGATATCACGTGAGGCTGACTTATCTGAGAACAATTTTATCCTAAAAAGAGGGTTGGCTTGCCTTACAACTTATCGCGATTTTATATAGGTTGGCTAACTTATCAAGGAATTTTAAATAGGGAAAAAAGGGCTGAAAAATTTTGGCTGAGTTAGGCCAAAACTGACTTATAGAGTCTACCTATGTATATTAATGTATACTGTTGCAAATATATTTTATAAATAATTTTACCCTTATATTATCCGGGACAAAAAAAAATTTACCTGTAAAAACTTGGGCATTTTTAAGGTATGCATTATTACTATTAATTCTACTATAGCTTAGCTGGGAACTTATATTAGTATTAGATGTGTTTATATAAAAAATTATTGGGGTCCTGTTGCAGTATTAATAAACCTCAGTGCTGCAAATATCCCTGTTTGACATTCATTCCTATACACATTAATACCCAATAGTAAATTTCAGCTATTATAATAATAATCTGTTGTTTATTGTAACCTTCTAAACTCTCTTTAAAAAGGTCTCAATAATCACTTTTATTAAAATGATTTATTTTAAATGCTCACACATTAATATATTTTCCAAGAAATGAATAATAAGCTTAGGGGGATGTTGGAATCTACCAATTTAATAAATTAAAAACAAAATCTTAGTGGAGTTGACATAATCAATATCATAATATTATTAATGAAATGGAGTATCATTGTGAAAATCACTAACAATAACATTTACTGACAGCTATGCAACTGGCTCTCTTCGGTATTCGGAAGTTGTTTCCAGAAAATGATCCCAATCTAGAAAAATTAGAAACATATGGAATTCTTGTTTACAGTGAGTAATATGATTTATTAACTATTATGTTTGTAGTGGCTTGCTAATTTTATACATTTATTTATATAGAGAGAGATGTTTTCTTTATGCTATGCATTGGGTTGGTGGAGTTTATCTTGTTGACCAGTTTGATGGGTTTGTGGTTCCTAATACACCTATACAATCAAAGAATTTGTCCCATATTATACGAAGAATGATTATATTTAAGGTAACAAATATTATTAATGTTGTTGTTAATTGCTGTCATAGTATTTCTTATGATAATTTGTAACTGACACACTCTTTACTTATATATTTGGCCAGATCCGTGTTGTAAATCTACAACAGCACATAGAGTCTTCATTGAAATTAAAAAAATTTTTTAAACGTGGTGGCACTCAGCATGCAGATGATTGTATTGTTGATACATCTCCACAGAAAAAAAAATCGAGTTTCTTCGATAGATATAATGTCTCAAGAGTGATGTTAAGTGAATTGTTGATTCATACTTTAAAAAAAATGGAATAAGTCGCATCCTGTTGTGATTTTTCAATAAAAAATTTTTTTAGTAGCTAATCCGAGGACAATCTTTACATATAACAAGATTAAAATTTCTGAGTATATGTATTAATTAATTAATTCACATAATTTTTTTCAATTTGTAATCATAAATACAGCAAAGAAACAGATATTTATAGCATTGGAATGTTAATGTGGGAAATATTTGCAGGCCATCCACCATTTGATGATAGAGCTCATAATCTTGACTTAATGTTCAACATATGTGCAGGTTTACGACCACCAATATTACCAGGAATGCCTGATTACTATGTACAAATGATGCTGAAGTGTTGGGATAAAGATCCATCTAAAAGACCAACTATTGGAATACTTCATACTTTTGCAAATAATAAATTAAGGAACATTTATAAAAATGAAAGTTTAAATAATTGTAACAGTAATAATAATAGTAGTGATATAATTAATTCATACAAACCACATCCAGGTGTATTTCATAAAAGTAGAAGTTTGAATAATGAAATTATTAAATCACAATACTCAGAACTTTGTGATAGTTCATTAATTAATCTTGATATAAATTCCTATGCTGGTTTTAAAGGTAAAAAAAGGTTCATACTAATTAATTGGGAAATTATTATCCATAAATTATTACTAATGTATTTTTTATTTCAATTTAATTAATTTTAGATTCTAGTAGCAATTGTAAAGGAAAAGGAAAAGATTCTGAAAGAATCGATGAGACGACAGATTATCAATGGATGATTATAACAAATTTATTTATTATATTAATTTTATCTTTTATTATATCCTTACGTTTTTTCTTTTCGTTTATTTCATTTCTAAAAGCTAAACTTTTGAATAATAAATTTTTTTATTATTTCTAATTCTTAGTAGTAAAGTATTTTGATAGATGTTCTGAATAGATTTTTTTCTTTCCTTTATTAAAGTTACATTTGTGATGCAAGAATTATTTATTAATGGATCCAACTCATTAATATCATAATATACCGCAAGAACTTTTTTCAGAACTCTATTACACTGTAAGGAAAGCATCAAATATAAACTGGTTAAATTATGCCCGCTGCTCTAGTCACCCACAAAGTTCCCGCTCTTTGAGGTATAACTATTCCCCTAACAGTTCACTAGTAACCTCGCCCTTCCTTTTGGGTGTGTGGGTGTTTAAAATTAACTTGCTTCTTATAACCTTGGTTTATTGAAAAAGATGATTCGATCATACACCTTTTCTTTTTCTAAATTCTCGAAATGAATACTCAACATGTTTGTTACGAATTAGTGAACTGCATCATTTACCGAATTATTAAAAACGTGACTTTAAAAAAATTTTACTTTATTTATTATATCGTAGCGAAGATTTAAGTTCTGAAATTTCAAAAGGGTATGATTTATCAAATAATCACAGAAAATTTTTTTAATTTTTTAAAAAAGTATTCTTTTGAACAAAAAAAATTTAACCACGCCTGAGATTTAGGGTATAAGAAATTGCACTTCATATATGGATCCGAATCAAATCAAACCATGATATATATTAGATAGTAATAATATATATATTGATTCGAATCAGTTCAAATTTCGTTGATTTGTTCAGAGCCTTATACCAATAAATGATAAATTCCCATGAAGATTGCATTAGCTTACAACTACAGAACCTTTTTTCTACTTGGATGTCTGGAAACGACATAATTAATAGTTAAACCCTGGGTAGTACTGGTATAAGTTCAACTTTACGAAGTAAAATTGAGCTTAAACTTGTATTATCTCAGTGGTTTAACTGATTTATCCCCCACCATTTTGCCATTTTTACGTGTAACTTTTTCCACTATCAAGAAGATTTGTTGGGTGGTTAATAACAAATTAATTTATTCTTTTCTAAAATTTGTATATTTCATCTTGCTTTGCGGAATATTACACTGCTCCACCATTATCATTAATATTACTAAAAAACTATTACACATTCTAATAACAATGGTAATTTTAATATTTATGATTCAAAATCAATAAATGTTACAAGCGAAACCCATCCAGTTACTACTGAAACAGATAATACATGTGACTTGATGAGTAATGATCAAGATGCAATTTCCAGTGATACTAGTGTTGATGATTCTAGTATTTCTAGTGATGCTTTTGATTCAAATAAAAGTATTGATTCACGTCATGCATTCAATGATATTTCCAATATTACATTACCATTTAAAAGATCACAATTATAATGAAATTAAAGGACACAAATTTAAATTTATTAAATGTCATAATATTACTATTAATATTCACTATTACTATTAAATACTCATTACTTCAAACAATTGTATTTTAATATTTGTTTGTATTACTATAATGTTTTGCATTTTATAAATAAAAAAATAGTCTATCATAAAATTCAATTGAGCTTGAATTTTTCTAGTGGGTATAAGCACAAACTGAAAAATGGTATAAATGAGGTTACACGGGGGATAATGAATGTTAACCACACGGAAATTCAGGTAGCTTTTGGGAAAGTTGTTGGAAACAGGGTTGGCAAATGTGCGTCTATTGGTAGTCCATTGGGTCCATTAGTGTAACATTTGGTATTTTATTAATGGCAATGGACCAGTCCAAATCCACCCGTTCTCAATGACCAGTCAATTTGCCAACCCTGGTTGGAAATGTTTATTATCATGATGATGTAAATATGAAGGGAGATCGTAAAAAGATCCTTAAAGGTAAGGTGAAACGAAATTTGATTCTATCATTGTGAAAATCACTAACAATAACATTTACTGACAGCTATGCAACTGGCTCTCTTCGGTATTCGGAAGTTGTTTCCAGAAAATGATCCCAATCTAGAAAAATTAGAAACATATGGAATTCTTGTTTACAGTGAGTAATATGATTTATTAACTATTATGTTTGTAGTGGCTTGCTAATTTTATACATTTATTTATATAGAGAGAGATGTTTTCTTTATGCTATGCATTGGGTTGGTGGAGTTTATCTTGTTGACCAGTTTGATGGGTTTGTGGTTCCTAATACACCTATACAATCAAAGAATTTGTCCCATATTATACGAAGAATGATTATATTTAAGGTAACAAATATTATTAATGTTGTTGTTAATTGCTGTCATAGTATTTCTTATGATAATTTGTAACTGACACACTCTTTACTTATATATTTGGCCAGATCCGTGTTGTAAATCTACAACAGCACATAGAGTCTTCATTGAAATTAAAAAAATTTTTTAAACGTGGTGGCACTCAGCATGCAGATGATTGTATTGTTGATACATCTCCACAGAAAAAAAAATCGAGTTTCTTCGATAGATATAATGTCTCAAGAGTGATGTTAAGTGAATTGTTGATTCATACTTTAAAAAAAATGGAATAAGTCGCATCCTGTTGTGATTTTTCAATAAAAAATTTTTTTAGTAGCTAATCCGAGGACAATCTTTACATATAACAAGATTAAAATTTCTGAGTATATGTATTAATTAATTAATTCACATAATTTTTTTCAATTTGTAATCATGTATTTTTGGCTTGTAATCAATAAAATTTATTTAGACTGATTTATTTCACAAATAAAAGACAATAAAAATATGCTAATTCACAAAAATTAATAAATTTTATATTTTCAACAACAATCAAATAAATTGTTCATTCGTTTAAAATATTTAAATTTAAAATACTTTAAAAATAATATTTTTGTAGTTTAAATAGTGTCATTATCACTGTCATTATATCTTGAACTTCAACTTCATCCTCTTGGTTCTCAAACACAAAATCTCGTTGTCTTGATAATAGCACATTGGTGCTTTACCCTTGTTATTATTAACTTGCTTTATTGCATTTACCAACATCTCTGGTCTTGACATATTCAAGGAGGCATCAGAGCACGTTTTCTCGATTGTCACTTCCTCCTTGTTGCTTGGCTTTCATGATCTCTTACTTGATGATAATAAGTTTGATGATGTTGCTAATGCGTTTATCGGTGATGACTCGTGAGATTTTTTGCCAATGGTCTGCTTCTCAAATTATCATTCTTTCTTTTGAGTCTAGTTGTTGTTGATGATTTGCTTTGGGATAAGGCCAATCAATTTCGCTACAGATGATTTGCATGATGTTCCTACTGAAAAGACCGCTGATGAGTTTGTTGCATCTGCTACTGCCGAATGTCTGTCATTCGAGACAGTATATGTACATGGGATCATTATTTTGTTGGATGTGCTGGTGAACGAATTGTAGGTGTTCCTTTCCATTATGAAGAAGTTTTGATCTAGTTCGCCATTTGGCTTGGCCTTTTCTTTACAAGGAGAAGAAAAAGTACCAAACAGAGATTGGGTTCCTCGTTCAAAGTTTTTAGGTCCAAGTTTATTGCTTGAATGACAGTTACCTACACAAAAAAAAAATCATTTGTTACATTTTTTAAATCTTTCGTCATTTATTTATCGAAATAATAATAAATGATTACAAATAATTCAGATCCAACATTAAGAAATCTTCCAACCATCATCATAATGGAATCTTCCTTGGTCATTTCTTCAAAAGTTCTGTCGAAACGCCTTAAAATGCAACTTTATAAATTCTTCATCATCTACTCTGCTATATGCAACACCTGTATAAACATTTATGCCGCTCACAATTTATATATATATAATAGATGTTATAATAGATGTTAAAATAGATGCCATCGTTTAAAAATAGATTTATTGTTGTAGCAGTGTTAAAAACAAAGACGTTTGAAAATAAAAAAAAAGATGTTGAATTCTTTATTGAAATGATTATTACTAATAACAACAATAAACATTTTATCAATTATAATTGTTAACGAATGCACGTGCGCGTATCCATGAACTCACACTTTAATACTTTAATAGTAACTTCTCGTTATCGTATAACGTTATCTGTACCAAAAAAAAGTTAGGTCGTAAATTTTAAAAGATATTGTTTACTGTTTAAAAAATAATAATAATAATATTCCAAATAACTTTAATTGTGCAGCTTGCAACACATTACGTAATAACAATTGAAAAACGGTTTTCGGATCTTTGACGGTTTTTTTTATTTTTACTCAAGAATAATAATTTTGGTTGCGCAGTGTGCAAACAATTGAAAAAACTGTTTTTCGGATTTTGACGTATTTTTATTTTTGCTCAATAGAAAGTAATAATTTCTTTAATAATTCCTAGCCTCAAAAATTAGCAATCGGGAAAAAAAGTAATATTAAATCATGATGATAAATAATAATTGTCATAATTTAATGCATTTACCAAAAAAAGTAATCGATTTTATTAATGCATTCACCAAAAAAAAATAGTAATCAGTTCTGTTAATGTATTTACTAAAAAAAAAGTAATTAATTCTACCCAAATCACATAGTCGATTTCTTTAACAAAAAAAATTAGTAACAGTCAAACGATATGTCACAGGAAGTGTAATTACATACACCGGCCTACAGTAGTTTACCGGATTTTTTTTACTATTTATAGAATTATATATAAAATTCAGTTTTTTGTGTATGTATAAAAAAATTTTTATATTTATTATTTGACAAAAACAAGTTTTCAAAATAAAATCCTAAATGTGATGTTTAATATTTAAATTTTTTAAAATGAACAGGCTAATATTTAGTATGTCCACCTTTAGCCTTAATTACTGCTTTGACACGATCTGGTAAGCTTAAAATTAAACGATGTAGCGTTTCTATGTTGATTTTCCCCCATTCCTCTTGTATTACGTTTATTAATTCCTGTTTAGATTTAGGCAGAGGTTTTCTTTTACGTACTTGATGATCCAGATAGTTCTACAAGTTCTCGATCGGGTTAAGATCTGGATTTTGCGCCACCCAATCTAAAATCGGAATGTCATGTGTTTTCATCCACCAAAACACTATAATTTGATGTATGACATGGAGCTTTGTCTTGCTGAAAAATAGAATTAGGGTAATTATTAACCCATGGTATAAAGTGTCCAGCAAGGATGTTAATATAATCATTTGAATCCATGTTTCCCTCCACCACAATTAAAGGTCCGACACCATGCCAACCAAAACACCCCCAAAACATCACAGATCCTCCACCAAATTTAACTGTAGGTTGAATACAATCCTCTTTATAAGCTTCCCCCGGTTTTCTCCATACTCTTACTCGGCCATCTGATTCAAAAAGAGCAAACTTTGACTCATCTGACCATACCACATTTTTCCATTCTTCTTCCCAGTTTTGTTTTTCTCTGCTCCATCTTAGTCGATCTTTTCGCTGTTTCTCTGTTAAAAGAGGTTTTTTTTGTAGCATAATTACCTAGACCCTTGTCATGAAGATATTTTCTAACTGTATTATAATGCAAAGTTGTGTTAAGATGAGAATTAAATTTATTTGTTATATCACCAAGAGGGGAAAATCGGTTATCATGGACGATACGTTGTAAAACGCGTGTATCACGTTGGGTGAGCAGTTTTGGACGACCGGGACGTTTTTCAGGTGTAGCAGAACCTGTTTCTTTATACCGTTTGATAGTATCATTTATTGTACTGGTATGGTGCGTGTCACCTAAAGTCATCAAGAATTTATGGGTGACTTTAAAATGTATCTAGTCCCTCGATTTTCGTGTTACAAAAAAAAGAAACCGTAAAAATGATAGATTAGAACTTCCTCTTTCAAAATTACGGTGTACTTTTTTGATTTTCAACTATGTACAAAGTTATTAAGGTTTAAAAATACACAAGTTTACTATATAGTATATTTCAAATTTCGGACGCTGATCATTCAAATTCTGTCCAATAAAACTCCTAATAACGATCAATTTATGTCACACGAGAAATAGCGCGTAAATTTTGAAATTGAATATTAAGATATTTTACATCAATATTAATTAAATCATTATTAATTGTTATAAAAGTTCAATCAATAAAACAAGATAAAATGCCTCTATCTTCAAAAGGAAAAAGAAAAAGTAAAAATCAAGTAAGAAATGCAGAAGTGCCAACCAAAACACTCCCAAAACATCACAGTTCCTCCACCAAATTTAACTGTAGGTTGAATACAATCCTCTTTATAAGCTTCCCCTGGTTTTCTCCATACTCTTACTCAGCCATCTGATTCAAAAAGAGCAAACCTTGACTCATCCAACCATATCACATTTTTCCATTCTTCTTCCCAGTTTTGTTTTTCTTTGCTCCATCTTAGTTGATCTTTTCACTGTTTCTCTGTTAAAAGAGGTTTTTTTTTGTGGCATAATTACCTAGACCCTCATCATGAAGATATTTTCTAACTGTATTATAATGCAAAGATGAGAATTAAATTTATTTGTTATATCACCAAGAGGGGAAACCAGTTATCATGGACGATACATTGTACAATGTGTGTATCACATTGAGTGAGCAGTTTTGGACAACTGGGACATTTTTCAGGTGTTGCAAAACCTGTTTCTTTATACTGTTTGATAGTATCATTTATTGTACTGGTAGGAATATCAAGCTGAGCAGAAATAACTTTTTGTTTAACACCACTAATATATGCACCAATAATTTGCTCACGTTGAGCAACTGACAGCTCCTTTCTATGCATTTTAAACTAGAAAAGAAATAAATTAAAAAACACAATGTAAAATAAAAATAATAATGAATGCTTACAATCGTTTATAAATGTCTTGGATACATAATAGATCAAAGTATTCTTTATGTACAAAAATGCTTGTATATAGTG